TGGCGAAGGTCTCCCGATACTAAGCGCCCCACCAACGCCGAGATCAACATCCAAGCCGTCGCCACCCGCCCTCCTGAGGATGCAAGGGGGGGAATTAAGTCACCCCCGAAAAGAAGGCCTAGCCGTTTTTTGGGGGGTCAAAAAAAAATAAATAAGGCCCGGCCTTATTTTGTGAGAAACACGGTACTTCATCTGCCAATGGAAAGCTGGAGGAATCCTTCTGGAGAACCATTTGTAATAGTGGCCGATAGCTCAGACTTCAAACAAATTCATATTCATGTTTTTCTCCCTCTATTGTTCTATATTTCTATAAATCCTGGAATGATTTGAGTAACATTTTTTTCATATTTTTAAAAATCTTCAATATTTGCCATATTTAGGCAATGCTTTAAAAAAATTGAAAAGACCATAATCAAAGTTTTCTTGGCTGTTTGGCTCACTAATCATAATGCAACATACTCCCAATAGTTCAGGAGTGTGCTGTTATTTGTTCATAGAATATGTGTTTTTAAACAGTTATCAGTACTGTATTCTCTAGAGCAGTGGTCCCCAACCTTTTTTGTACCAGGGACCGGTTTCAAGCAGAAACATTTTTTCAAGGACCGGGGGGGGGGGAGAGAATCCGAGTTTGGTAGTTTGTTTGCATACGTTTCATTACCTGACTAGGTAACATCTGATGTTGTTACCTAGTCGGGTAATAAAACGTCTGCCAGCAAACCACCAAGTTCAGGGAGCGCCTCGGCCCTGCCTCCCTCAGCCCCATCCCTCAGGTCCCTCCCTCCCTCCCTCCCTCCCTCCCTCAGGTGTCTGCCTCGTTCCTCTCTCAGTCACTCTATCGCTCCTCCAGCAGCCCAGGAAGAAACTGCTTCAAAGAAGCCGGGGGGTGGGGTGGCTTTTCCTGTCGCCGCAGCTTCCCCGAAGCGCCTGTTTACCCCCACCCCGCCCGCTCGCTCGCGGTTCAATCCACAGTGCTCCGTTCTGCCTGCCTGCCTGCCTTCTTCGTTTCGGAGCAGCTTCGGCTGATAAAAAGAGGCGAATAGTTATTATTCTCAGCCGAAGCTGCTCCCAAACAACCAGACAGGCAGGCAGGCAGGCAGAACGGAGCACTGTGGATTGAACCGCGAGCGAGCGGGCGGGCGGGGTGGGGGTGAAACGGGCGCTTCGGGGAAGCTGCGGCGACAGGAAAAGCCACCCCCCCCGGCTTCTTTGAAGCAGTTTCTTCCTGGGCTGGTGGAGGAGTGAGAGAGCGACTGAGAGAGCTGAGCCAGAGAGCAGGACCGGCTTCGGTTGCTTCCTCCCTCCCCTTCTTTCATTTGTGTCCTTGATCCCCGATCCCAGCAGCATTCACCGAAGGCGAAGAAAGCTGCCATTTTTTTATTTTTATTTTCTTTGCGACCCGGTAAAGAGTGCTCCACGGCCCGGTACCGGTCCGCGGCCCGGTGGTTGAGGACCCCTGCTCTAGAGCAGTGTTTCTCCACCTTGGAGTCCACATATCTGAAGGCTGCCAAGGTTGAGAGACACGGTTCTAGCATTTATCATGAAGGCCTATCAAACCAATGTATCCCTCTGTGAGTACTGATGTGGGCATCACTCATTATTTTCAGCAGACAGCTGATGCATATTTTCTATGTAAAGCTAGCCATGGGTAAGGCCCTGAAAAAGGAGAATTCTAGTTGATTGCATATAGAGAAGAGAAGCACCATTTCAATGTACATCTTTTGCAGTGCATGCAAACTGCAAAGGAGCTGCAAAACTGCAGTCAATCCAGGCCTTTCATCTTCCTTGTTACAGCTCTACCCATGAATGCATTACAGAACATTGATCAATTTTTAAAATAAATTGCACTTAAATATGCAGAATTATTTCTAGAACTGCTAAAATGAATTTTCTACAAAATAAATGACAGAGAATGGTATATCATTTTGAGGTGCCATATGATTTTTCTTTTCAGATTATGTGATAACTGTCTTTTTAAAAGATCTTCCCTCTTCCCTCTATACAGTGAGCATGGCCACTAACAGGCTTATAGGTGCAGTGGCAGGGACCATTCTGGCACTGGGGGTGATATTTGGAGGCACAGGGTGGGGAATAGAGTAAGCATATTTATTAGTTTCAGAGTTTTATGTTTGGTGCCTACTGTGTGAGGTAACTGTACGCATCTGATCCCTCTGTGTACTCCAACTAGCTTTGTGTTCTGTGGTGACTGTATTTGTCATGTGATTTGAACATTTGTGTCGTGTGATATGCTCATGTAATGTTTAACTCTCTCCTGTCTGGGATAATGTGGGGCATAAAACAATAGTTTGTCAATTTTGTAGCACCATAATTAATATAATTCAATGTTTATATGTTTTCAATGCTCTAAATTATAAATAAAATTTCAAAAAAAAATTATAGCTTAAAAAAATTGTGTAATAGATAAATTAGTGCACTTGATATAGTTTGGTTTATTGCCGGAAGCATTCAGAGGAATAGTAAGTAAAAGTACATGATTTAAATAATTAAATAATTAAAAAGTAGAATTGTCCAAATCACTGTTTTTCAATCTCATCCACTTTAAGATGTCTAGACTTCAGCTCCCAGAATACCTCAGCCAGCATGTCTGAAATCCAGACACCTTAAAGTGACTAAGGTTAAGAAACTCTGACCTAGACCAATAATGTTTGGTGCTGTAGCATCTTAGCTGAGTAAGGGAGCTCTGTACATGGAAACAGCTTTCTTCATGCACAGCCAGTGAGCATCCAAATATGCATTGGATGTGGATTCCCACCAGTGCTGGGAGGACCATGAATGTTTTCTTGGCCTAGCGAGAGGCTATTTTGATGATCATAGATCTCCTCATCTGAGCTTATCTGTGGTTTATGTTACTAAAATTGGATCAAGGCTGTTATGAATATTTATATTAAATGAGATGAATTATTTTGAAATAGTTAACATGGGTATTATTTACATACATATTGATGTATCGACCATATATTTGGTTAAAAATAAGAGCAACATTTAGGAACTTTATACGAACATCATTAGTCTTTATAGCAATATCATTAGAATTAGTTGTCCTTTTTATTTGATTTCCTTTCAAAAAAAATGCATGCTCCTATGTATTCTGACTACTGTATTTATACAATCAAGAAATTATTTTGCTGTTATTTCTAGAATAGCAGATTTTTCAGATAACTGCACATTTTTCATAACACTGCATCTGTCCATCCATCAACCTGATGGTGGCATTTTGATGTTAGGAAGATCAAGCTACCAAAGAAAGCAGAGACAGCATTGGTGGCTGTAGAGAAGAGGAGAGAATCCTAATTTTCTTATTATGATTCATCTAAAATTAGATTTTCTTAAAATCTAAAGTGTTTTGTTAGTAGTAGTAGTGATACTATCATAACTAATGACTGCTTACTTTTTTTTGCATTAGTATGTGATCTGTCTACAATTTTGTTTTAAGAATTGATAAATATGTGCATGTTACAGAAAAATCATTATTAATCCCAACTATTACAATTTTTTCAGTAAAATTTGATTAAATAACAGTAGCATTAAATTTCTGACTAACAGCAGCTGAAGCATCATTAAATGAGGAAACTATCATTCTTCATCAGGCTAGATATTAAGATGCTTGTGGAGATCCTTTATAATAAAGCCAAAAGCAATCTTTCTATATTTACATGCCACCATTTTCATAAGAAAAGATGTTTGCAAATATATATATTGCATTCATTATTAGATATTCATCCTAGTGCTTCAAAGTTGACTCAAGTGAAGTTCTTCTGTGGGTAGATGGTTGAAGTATGACCTTCAAGCCAAGAAGCACACCAGGCATACGAAATGTCTTGCCAGGAAGGAATATGGAGAATTTCCCATATTGTAAATACATAGTGCTCTTCATTTTAATAGCAGAGGGGCTACTTTCAGACACTCCATCTTTCCTATTACTTAGACTTAACAAAATTAGCCATCTCTCAAGTAAGCAGGTGAGCGAATAAAAAAAGATGGGCATGCTTCTAGGCTGGGATAAAATAAATAATTTTCCTCTATAAATAATCACAATTTCCAATAGCACTTGCACAAAATCCTGTTTTTTAAAATTTAAAAACAAATTGTTTTTAAATGTCCATATTAGTGTTAACTATGGATTTTTTTAACAGTGGTAGCACATGTTCAAAATCACCTCTAATCTGTGTCTTGCTTTTTAAAAGACTATACTGTGAATCTAAACCAAAATATTAAATCAGATATGTATCATTTTGTTGTGATTGCATTTGAGAAGTAAAATAGTGATGGTATTTGTTGTTTTAAGGATCAGCTTTGATAGAAATACTCAAGTACACAATGATTTACAATGCCACAGGAGACATTTACTTCACTCATTAAACAAAAGTCTTTTTTGGTGTACATGGAATATAAATAAAATTTGAAAGAATAGACCCAGGACTTGTCACTTGACTTCTATCACCCACAGGTGATTGGACTTACAGGTTTTGCACTTATTTTCATGTACCAATTTAGCTATTATTGTTTTTTGTTATTTTTAGTTGTCTTTTTAATTTTTCCCTGTTTCTCCTGATGCTGCTTTTTTCTTTTTTGCTCTTCAAATTCTTCCAAACTTCATCCAATAATTTAAAAAGTTAGTTGTCTATCAAGTAAACAAACATACTATCTGACTTTTTGATTTAAAAATGTTTGAATCCTGCAAAATTGTAAAATATTTGTGGCATTGTAAATGTTTAAATAAGTTTAAACTGTAATTCGAAGTTTCATTAGTAAGAAGTATTCTAGGGAAGTGTTAGTTTGTATATGGAAGCATAATAGAAAATTCATCTATCTCCAAAAAAATTCTTCATATAGTTTTTAAATAACTTTGGCCCACTTTAAAATGTTTCTTTCAAATAATTTAATAGCTCATTTATTTTAAATTGTTTTACTACCTTTCCCTGGATGTGAATGAATTAAGTGGTTGGTTCTGATCTCTTTCTTCCCATCACCCTTTGTCACAGGTCCTAGCGCCACCAATCTTATAATAGGTTCCATCGCTGGTGCCATCCTGGTAGCAGCTATTGTCCTTGGGGGGACAGGATGGGGCTTTAAGTAAGCAATGCCGCATGTCTTTTTTTCAGTGGCTATAGCACTTCTTCCTGCTTACATCACTAGATTTTGAGTTCCTGCTACAAGATCTCAAGTAATGGTTTACTTTTTAAAAAATCCATATTTTGTAAAAGACCAAGTATCTTTTATGAAATCTCAGAAATGTCACCAGAGTGCAAAGTTGTAATATAGAGTATCTAATAGAGTCATGCAACATAGGCTAAAAAGGCATTTTAGTAATGCAGCAAATTACTGCATCTGACTCTTTGGATAGTATTAAAGATCTTCAACCTAAGGAAGCTTGTGAAACTGCCGTGGACATGACCAGTGCAAAAATGTTTCCCTAAAAAAATAGTTATTTACAAAATGCTACCCTGAGGGCTTCAGTAGGGCCCAAAAAGCCTGAATTCAAAACAGTTCAATTCCCAAATGTCAAAATAAATACTGTATTACATCCCAAGAGCACAATAAAAAAATCATTTTGCAGAAGAAAAACCAACAAGGTCAATAAAAATATGTAACTCACCCAAGTAGTATGAGGCTGACATTTGAACCAAATCTTAAAACTATTTTTTTCATCTTAGGAGAGCATAGTTTAAATCAAGCAGTATTATTGATACAGCCCTCCTCTTGGCAGAAACCCCAATCTGTAAAATGTGTAAAATCTTTTACATACACAAACTCATTTCATAACCTCATCTATACCTCTGTACCTTGACTGGAATTATTTTTCAGTGAGTTCTTTCAGCACTTACATATTTTAAAAATAAGTTGAGTTGTACAGCTGATGCCTCTATACAACACTTTTGTAGCTTTATCTATGTATTCCTAACAGTAAATATATAATGATTTTGACTCTTTGAATTGACAGTGGAAAAAAAATAGAATTTTGAAAAATATGTAGCAAAATGGCAACATGATAGATATGGCCCAACATAAAATGCAGTTTTAAAAAAGACAACCTGATCTGTTCAAGTCCAAGTGACTTTTCCAAGAATCTGAATTTGAAACTAAGAAGGAAATGTTTGCAAGTTCATGGTTGTCTCATTTTTTTCTCCTTAAGCTAAATAAGGTGAGAGAAATCTAGGACTTTTGTATCTTCATATAAAATGCTACACACATAGATAGATACAGAGAGAGCACATACGTTTTTCTGTTAATAGGATGAAGCTTAAGATGTCTTTCTAGGTAGAATGCTTAATGATAATGGTTCAGCAAAAACTTAATAGTAAATCAGTTGCTTTAGTGCAATTGCCCTATGTAAGAATTAGTGAAACCTCTAGTTGTGTGCAAGCAGCTTTCACAATTTATCTGCACAGTTGGGGCATAGGGGGTGAGGGGGGTGATAGAAAAAGTCAAGATAGCAACATACCTCAAAAATTCTATTATTTAGTTACAACTGTTATCTTGAGGGTTTTAAATCTCCCCTTACCCCATGGACACACTGCATCCAGTTCCTTGACAGTTTTTGTTTGTTTGTTATGAGGGGATGAAAGAATGTATCATGGAGAAGTTAAAAGGAAGTATTTCTCTTATATCAATTGATATAAAGTACTATATAAAACAAAAATAAGGTGTATTTTTATATAAAACTAAATAAACACAGATCTTACAAATTTTGCAAGTAGTGTAGTTTATATATTATTTGGACATATGAAATATGCTTACTAATAACACGTCCTGTTTTTAATTCTGTTCAGATAGTTGAAATAATAATTTACTTCTTAATGTCTTTAAAACAAGATTCTATTCCCTTTTAGAGGGAATTGAGGTAAGGACATTAGTCCACTTCACATTATTCTCTACACATAAAAAACAAATGTTTGTGGTTAGAGACTTGTTAGGAAGGTTCTCCCATGAGGACTTGGAGCAAAATCAGTTATGAGGAGGGGCTCTAATACAGAACTTTGCCTTCTACACTTGGAAGGCAAAGAAGGAAGTGGACGTGCATTCATCCCCACTATCACACATAGAATTTTATACGAGGGCTGATATGTGATGAAAAGGGCTGTGTGAGTCTGTAGCACAAGCATAGCCTAATTAATTTCCTTTATAAGTCATGCACCAGAAACTGTCATTAACCAAAATCAATACAGAAAGTACTAATTATTAAAACTGTAATATCAAGTATGGACATTCCTACTGAAGCGAATAGTACTCATATCAATGTATTTACAAAATCCTCTTAACAAACTAATGAAAACAAAACGCAATTCTATGCAGAGATGGGAAACCAGTTTTTCAAATGTTCTTGAGCTACTGTTCTTAACATTCTTCACTACTAGCCACACTGATTGGAATTACTAGAAGTTGTTATTGATTTGATTCATAACTTGTTTAATCCACAGTTTCTTGAATAACTTGCTGGAGTCATGCAAAACCCTAAGTTATAAACGAAGGACATTGCTTTTTATGATCACAAGATTATGTCATCAAAATTCAGTAAGACATTGGGCACCTTTTAGGAGCATTTTTTGTTTTTGTCTTTGTTTTACAAATAAAACATCTGACAAGAAAGAGGAGGAAAAAGGCTCAGAAAAAAAACAGCAAAAAATTAATGTCTAAGAAAAATGCCTGTTCCTGCAGGTATTTATATGTGACTTATCTTACATTCAAAGGACTCTACTCAAATAGTACTTTGCATCTTGTGTGACATTTACATATACATTATATGATATATTATGAATATCTGTATCTGTTGTATCTGTATGGATAGTCATGCAGTGTAAACATCTTAATAGTTCTCTTGCTTTTTTATAGAAAACTATTTTACTCTGTAGCAGAACCTCAAATACGATGGCCTCGCCTAGCTCTCAGCTTGAAGTGCATGTTTCTTTGGGCTAAAGTTGGAGGGGAAAGGTAGATTTTCTCATTAGAATCTAGATAGGTCTTCTCATATTTTGCTGCTTCATTTAGTATGTATGAGAGGCTTAAGAGAACTCAGAGTATTTATGTTATCTGCTGATAATATTACTGTATGCAACAATATCCACTTCTATAATTTAAGTTTATATTTTAAATTTAAAAAGGCAAATTCAAAATGTCAAATGGGAATACTTCACGCTTAAGGAATAATTCTATAGAAACAAGTAATTTTAGTGTGGCATCTTAATACCTATCTGAGAATGTTCTTTTCTGAGTATTCTTAATTTGGATCAGGACTGAAACCCTTCACTCATCCTGGACCCTTATCCTCACTGCATCCTCTGAGGGCCAGGAGACCCTTCCAGTTTGTCAAAAAAACATCACTGTCTGCAGCGAAAGGAGAAAATGGATGAGATTTGTGAGAGTAGCTTGAGGGGGAAGAAGAGGGGGAAGGACAGTCCCTAATGAGTGGTGTGACTTTCCATTCATATGCTTCTGGATCCAACTCATTATGTTCCTATTATGATACTATATTGTCTAATGAAAATTCTTCTTAGTATTTATGTGATAGATGTTAACTTTCTTCAGATGCATGAAAAGTTGAATTCAAATTTTTTTGGCGTAAACATTTGTAAAGGTTCTTTCATGAAGATACTAAATTTCTATATGATTTGGTCTGAAATGTTTAGTTAGAATCAGCATTATAACGGGGAATAAAACAATATTAGTGTTGTTTTATAGGTATAAGGGTCTGCCTCTCCTCTCGATTCAAGAAAGGAGAATTCTTGAAACAATTAGCATTTCAAAAAGAGCCTTTTATTGAAGAAAAGAGATAGCAAGACAAAAGGAAACAGGATATGAGGATAGCAATTCATTTAGGTTAAGGCAGTTAGAGGCCCCTCCCCTCAGTCCAGTGTTGAATAAGCCAATCGACAGATGCAAAGTTGTTTTGAGAATCGCTGGCTGAAGCTGTTCTCAGGTGTCCCTTGCTGGAGGCTCCGGAGCTGAGACAAAACAGATGGCCCTCCCCCCTTATATTCCCAGGAAGATAAATCAAAATACAGGATAAATAGGCACCAGGAAGAAGGTTATAAATTAAAGAATACACCCAGGGCCCCTCCCCACCAAAATGGCAGCATCCTAATAGGGATCTATGGGACCTGACAATAGGGCTGCTGAGCTCTGAATTAAAATTTATCTTTCCCTCCTTTTTTATATCCCAACTTGTTCTGGGTTCCTATAAGGATTCTGAAATATGTATCCATGATCCAAAAGCATTGTAATTAAAATATATAATTCATAGTATACATTATTATGGTCTTTTGACTGAGATGGGTGGTTATAGAAATTGAATAAATAAATAATTGTATTGATGTGCATGATAAACTGGTACATTTTTATGCCATTTATTACTTATAAGGCACAGAGGTGAATGGATAGATGGATACAAAGCAAGTTTTTTATGTTTTGTTCAGTGATGGGATTCAAAATTTTTTACTACTGGTTCTGTGGGTGTGGTGTGGCTTGGTGGGCGTGGCTTGGTGGTGTGGCAGGGGAAAGATACTGTAAAATCTCCATTCCTACCCCACTCCTGGGGGAAGGTTACTGCAAAATCCCATTCCTTCCCCACCCTACTAACCTGCTTTTCAGCTCTGTTCTTCTATGCAGGGCAACAAAAGAAGACCCAGACGCTCCGCTGAGGTTAGGGAGGCGGAGAATAGATGGGGGCAGGGCCAGTCAGAGGTGGCATTTGCCGGTTCTCCGAATTTCTAAAAATTTCCACTACCGGTTCTCCAGAACTGATCAGAACCTGCTGAATACCTCCTCTGGTTTTGTTAAAGTTTATTGGCTTTGTTAAAGTTATATGGCTAGAATTAAATTATTTTCTTGCTTAGCATAAAAAAAGAGTTGCCTACTGTTAGGTAGGATTGCAAAATCTGTTTTTGCATTGTGCATATTGTTTCTCCATACCATAGACAGCCAATTCCATCTTATTACTCCCAGCCTATTGCCAAGGAACTAGAATGATATATTGTCATTCTTTTTTTCCATAAGGCAGTAAGCTTAAATGCATTCAGTAGACTTTTTTCTCTCATCTGCTATTACATCGTTTCTGATTTTAAAGACTTGTGAATACA